ATCTTTTTATATCGAGAACTAATTTCCTAAATTCATTAGGACTAACTTATCCTAAACATAACTCAAATAGGATTAGTTTAACTTGGTTCCCAAGTTAAATTCAAGATTATTGCCAACATCGAGTGACCAGGGTCTTGAGATCCATCATCTCTCTTGTATAATCGTCCATTTTGCTCCACCACCTATATTCAAAATAACAGTTTTTTGTGTAATCAGACAGGAGAATTTCAGACAATGATGTACGGAGAGAGGCGCTGCGTTTATACAAAGTTTGTCACTTTCGTTGTTTCATTTTTGTTGTAATCTCAAAATAAATAAATGAAAAGCCAAAGGAAAATCGAGAAATCAAATATTCAAATTAAGAAAAAAAAAAATATTCTCATCGAGTTCACCTTTTTCGATCTGAAATGTTCAAAGAAATTGGCACTTATGAGTTATGACTTATCATAGTGACTGAGTTGATTGATTCTACTCAAATCTCTGTTTTGGAACTCCAAACGAATGTAATGAGAGAAACTTATGTAACTAAACGTACGTAAAGCCGTAACTGCTTGCCAAAAGTACTGTATACGTCAGTTCACTTGGCCATAAATTCTGATATATCACTTATCCTTTAACTACTTCATTTCAAATATGTATAACTATGAAATTATTTCTATCCAAAAATATAAATGTACATTGATGATATATGTAGTTTATTTTTAACAAAGCTAGTTAAGTTAATTCTCTTATATCTTTCAACATAAATACATACCATATATCACAAACAGAGAATTTACAAACAAATACTATGAGATTTTTGAAGTAATCATTCTTCTCCAAACACTTACCCATAAACGATTTGCTTGTGAGAAAATAGATTGTATTTTCATGATTAGTTTTAGTGTTTATTGTTTTGTTTAGTGATCCAAAACAGAATTGAATTAAAATTAATCAACTTTGTTACTATTATTATCAATGCGCTATTTATTTCTAACTTTTCAAATAGAAAGTTAATACAATATGGTAACTGTTTTGAATTTTAGTATTTCTTCATCTTTCTTAGTTTTAAAATTTAAAGTCACAATCAAAGAGGACCAACTCTTGTTCGAAATCCTCGGTCCAATTGCACAAAAACTGTTCTTTTGAATCTTGGTGGTGAAAAAAAATATATAGTTTTCATCATTTTGGCCAACATCTATTAATTTTCTATCAAATGATTGAATAAGGAAAAAACAGAACAACCATTATAGTATTCAAAACCGGTTTTCTTTCGTTAAACATCAAAGTTTTCATAAAAATAATATAATAATAATTAAACCGGGGTTTCTCACTAAATAAATTTTGTCAAAGTAAGAAACAATACAATAAATAAATTTAATAGTTCACACCTAAAAATCAACTACACATACAAAGGAACCAACCCGATATTGATACCACTAAGGCACAAATCACTAAAGCAATGTCGAAACATGAAAAATGTATTTTTCTTGATAGGAAAACACAAATCACCAAAGACTCTTGAAATTTGTATTTTTTCCTTTAACGCAACTTGCCAATTCGGATCATCATTAAAACATTGGCCTATGTTCACCGATTACCCTTCACTTGTAAGTTCAGCATAAACACGAGTCTTTCCAGGTTTAACCAAGAACACTAGTATTCAGCACAAACACCACTGTATTGATCTAGACACTAGTATTTTTGTGGCATAGTGTGCGTTTATTTCTTTGAGCATCTCAATCAAAGAGAAAAAGTCAGATGGTGCCTCATATCTAGAGTTGAAATGCTGGGAGGTTCTCTCGAAAGAGAGGTTTTTTTTACCTTCTTCTGCATTCTTTTGTTTTTGTTTCCATCATATAATAACTTTTTATGTGTTACCTCAAGATTACTTTTGTTTTGTAATTCGTTAACATTGTCGGTTAGAAGAACTGAATAAGCTAAGTAAACCATGTTGGAATATTGGCAACTAAAGCCATGTCAAGTCCTGCCTATAAAGCAGTGCTTGATTCTTCTCCAAACAGCAAATTCATCATGGGAGCTCATGAAGGTAATGCTTTCTCCTCAACAAAGATTTGATTTTATGTATTGTTGTATGGTTATATTGTTTTCTCTGCTTTTTTCTGGAATGGAGTCAGGCCTACATGGCCATATTCAACTTAATAAGGTTTGAAAATTATTGTCTCTCTACTATTGAAGCCTCTACATGTCATTGAGATACTTCAATCCTAATCAATTCTTGCTTGTACCTGGTGTTTTGCTTCTTTTTGGTTTACTAGACATGGAACGTCAGTATGCACAAAATACTTCAAAAGTCTGATGAAGTAATTAACAAGAAGAAAGCTGGCCACTTCAAGAAAATGAATTTATCTGTCAGGTTTGTTCATGATTTGTGTCTTATTACGTCTACATGTATAGCTTCTTTACTTTCTTCTCGAATGAACAGTGAGTGCTCCGCTTTCCGAGATCCATCTGCGAGCAAAGATGATGCTGATATGCCGTTTTTGTCCAACAATGCCACTGATCAGGATCTAGAAACCACACTTGATCTTCTTTGCAATGCAATTTACCCAGTTCTGCTCGAAACAGTTATCAAAGGTACTTGATCAAGGCGTAGTTGTACTTTCAAGCCTATGTAATAGTAGATACATGTTTTTAACTATGCTTATGTTTCTAAACTGAGCAGGTAATTCACGGATTAGGTCGGAAAATGTAGCCTGGAATAGTCCAGATACTACAACCTGGATCCGCCGAGGGAAATGGGTTTTCGATATCACCATTGAAAAATATGATGTCATGCAAAGTGGTGATGCATGGAGGGTTGTCATTGACTCATGCCTTTCTGTTCTTCATATTATTGATACAAAATGGTCAATACCATATTCTATAAAGAAAGTGCAAGTGAAAGATTCTCTTTCATCTGTCGTTGGGTCATGTTCTTGGGGAAAGCGTGTTGATTTTGGTGCAGAGGCAAGTCAGTTGGGAAATGAGAAGAAGAAGCAGCATCAGCAGTAGGATCAAGCAGTTCAGATGTTTGTGAAAACTCTATGAGGAAAGACTATAAGCCTCCACCTTATATCATCCATCACTATACACACTTTCAAGACAAAGATTGAAGAGAAGGAAGGAATCCCCAGCAAAATCAAAGGTTAAGTTTAGCTGGGAAAGAGCTCCAAGACAGTTGCCTTGTATCTGATTACAAAGAATCTACTCTCCATCTGCTTCTATGTCTCCGTGGTGGTGTCGTTGTTCCAAACCCGTATCCCATAATTGCATATCAAAGCGACATACTTCCTCTGATATATGATTATGAGAACGCTTCAATCCCAAATAAAATGGTACTCAGGAAGCTATCATGCTTATCACCAAGGGCCTAGAGAAGATTGGTATAACTTCTCGACTCAAGTTTTATGTTTATGTTGGAAGCCCAAAGTGCAGAATCAAGGATGAACATCAGTGTTTCTTTAAGAGTGGAGATGATAAATATTGCTTTCATATGGTCTATAATACAGAGGAGGACATTCCAGAGGAACTACGTGGAGCTAAGAGTCAGATCGCAGATGTTTCTATTAGTAAATCTCTCAAAGACCTTCTTGCAAGAGATCTACAGACGGATGTGTTCTTGGTTAAACCTGGAATGTTTATGCTGAACTTACAAGTGAAGGGTTATCAGTAAACATAGGCCAATGTTTTAATGATGATCCGAATAGGCAAGTTGCGTTAAAGATAAAGTACGAATTTCAAGAGAGTCCTTCGTGATTTGTGTTTTCTTATCAAGAAAAAAATACAATTTTCATGTTTCGACATTGCTTTAGTGATTTGTGCCTTAGTGGTATCAATATCAGTTTGGTTGCTTTGTATGTGTAGTTGATTTTTAGGTGTGAACTATAAATTTATTTATTTATTGTATTGTTTCTTAATTTGACAAAAACATATTTATTGAGAAACCCCGGTTTAATTATTATTATATTATTTTTGATGAAAACTTTGATGTTTAACGAAAGAAAATCGGTTTTGAATACTATAATGGTTGTTCTGTTTTTTCCTTATTCAATCATTTGATAGAAAATTAATAGATGTTGTCCAAAATGATGAAAACTATCTATTTCTTTCACCACCAAGATTCAAAAGAACAGTTATTGTGCAATTAGACCGAGGATTTCGAACAAGAGTTGGTCCTCTTTGATTGTGACTTTAAATTTTAAAACTAAGAAAGATGAAGAAATACTAAAATTCAAAACAGTTACCATATTGTATTAACTTTCTATTTGAAAAGTTAAAAATAAATAGCGCATTGATAATAATAGTAACAAAGTTGATTAATTTTAATTCAATTCTGTTTTGGATCACTAAACAAAACAATAAACACTAAAACTAATCATGAAGATACAATCTATTTTCCCATGAAGCAAATCGTTTATGGGTAAGCGTTTGGAGAAGAATGATTACTTCAAAACTCTCAAAGTACTTGTTTGTAAATTCTTTGTTTGTGATATATGGTATGTATTTATGTTGAAAGATATAAGAGAATTAACTTAACTAGCTTTGTTAAAAATAAACTACATATATCATCAATGTACATTTTTATTTTTGGATAGAAAGAACTTCATAGTTATACATATTTGAAATGATGTAGTTAAAGGATAAGTGATATATCAGAATTCATGACTGAGTGAACGGACGTATACAATTTTGGCAAGCAGTTGCGGCTTTACGTACGTTTAGTTACATAAGTTTCTCTCAGTACATTTGTTCGGTTTAGGAAAAGAGACAGTAAAGTGATTTTCAATTACTTCCTTATGACAACACATTGTTGTTTCCTCCTTTGATTGTGTTTCTTTTGTGATCCCAAAATCACTTTAGTATTTAACAATAATACAAATTTTCAGAGACAAAATAGAGGTTCAACCAAAACATGTTACAAAACAAAAAGGATAACGCAAAAAAACATATGACCCTGGGAAAAAACCCTAAATCAAATCCTTCTCTTCTTTTTCTTCATTGTTCTATCCCTGGCATTCCTATAAACACAACAAGAATGTCAAGTTCTTGGTTTTCCTATCAAGCTGATGATTTTCTAGCGCCGACGAAGCTCTCATTACCTCTCCATGTGAATCTTTATTAACGTTTCTCAACTTATCTTTTCTGTAACCACCAGACCCGCCTCTTCTATCTGCAAAAATATTATTTGGTATCAGGATATCATGAAACATACATTTTAAAATATTACTGCAGAACCCGGCCTTCTCATTAATTAAACATCAAACAATTCTGGTTCAGATAGGTAACATCAAAAGAGTAAAGATCTTTTTGTGTATAAGACGGTTTTGGAAGACATGTGTACCTTCGTAAGTTATCAGAAGCAGCATATGATCTTTGAGGAGGTTTTTTCTAGACTCAAGGCGTGATGAAGTCTCAGTTTCTGATTCTCTCCTTGAATTACCACCCATGGTCTCTATCTTGCTCAGTAAGAAAAGAAAAAAAATGTTGATCACTAAACCTGAGCAGAACACATCAAAAGACAAACAATAAAAGGTTTTTTACTAGGAAACATGATCCTTATAGATGTGTAGAGAACTCGAGACTTGTTTTCTCAAACCTCTTAAATATTAGGGACAAAGATCCCACATCGGAAGTTGTAAGAGATTCTATCTTGTGTATAAAATAAATGGGTCAATCCACTTATCACCAATTGGTTTTAGGTTGGAAGCCCATCTAGTTTAATATGGTATCAGAGCCCACGATCCACGCAATCCAACCCGATCCTTATTGATCCAGCCTAAAGTCGGCCCATCGATCCTTTCCCAAACATTCCGAGTTTGATGCCAAATAGCCATCATCTCGAGGGGGCGTATTAGGGACAAAGGTCCCACATCGGAAGTTGGAAGGGATTCTATCTAGTATATAAAATAGATGGGTCAATCCATTTATCACCAATTGGTTTTAGGTTGGAAACTCATCTAGTTTGATATCAAAGACTTTAATTCTCTAACTAAGACATCTAAGAACAAAAGTTATTTACTTGCAAAGAGGTGAGGTATTAGAGGTTGGTGTTTGTAAAGCTTGAATGTCACCCATAGAAACTGAGTAACGCACACATACACATAGACTATTAGAGCTTAGTAGTATAGATTGTTAGATTGTCAAATTCAGTTCCTTCACAGGGAACAAAGAAAGAAATACCTCAAACTTCAAGAATCCTTCAAGAACATCAAGAAGACGTGGTCCATTATTTCCATTTCTGTTGAGCTCATAGTCCCTTAATTCAGACTTCCAAGAGTCATTTTGCTTGTAAATAAGTATTCAATCACAGTGCAGAGAACGACCAAATTAGTAATCAAGCAAGCTTTTTTTAAGTCATGTACATTCCAATGATCAAGACAAACAAAAACAATAGAGAATGTAATAGCTTGATTACCAAATTGCATTCGCGTTGATACACTTTGATTGAGTGCTCGAATTGCGCCCACTCAAAGTATTCACAAACTTAAGCAGATAGCAACCTACATGAATTTCATTTCAACTCTTCAAAGTAAGTTCTTTCCCAACTACACAAGAATGAAACCTATCTGAATAATAATCATCTAATAGAAGCAAACACATATAATCTGAATGATAGAGAGAGACAGAGACATAAAATCTAAAGGCTTTGGGGGAAAGACCTGAAAGAGAAGCATGAAGCTGCCTTGTATGATCATTACAGCTTCCCAACATAGCCGGAGACAGCCCTTCCTTGTTCTCAATCACTTCCATCTTCATCATCTTCGATTGCCACAAACACATTCACACGTAGCTCAGCCTAGACAAGTATAATTGAGTTTTATCTTATCATCTGAACTGTAAGGTCGGAACTTTGCTGAATCAGTAAAGAAAAAAACGCAGAAGTTAACGTTACTCGGATCGTAGCGAGAACACCCTTCTTCTCAAGGCTTTGAGTGACTTAAGGTTTTGACATTTATCAACTCTCTAGTGTACTCGTCCATTGTTACACCACCAATTCAAATCCAAAGTATGAAACTTTGGTGAAAGAATTTGAAAATGCGCGAAGGGAAGACGTTGAAGGAAAAAAAATAAAAATAAAACAGTTTCCTAAATTACTCCCTAGAAGATGACTCGGGATGTGCAAAACAAGGGTTACTACAATGGACCAAAATGCTTCTTGAAGTCGGGAAATACCAATTTTTTTTTCGATTCCACAGATGTAGAAGGTGACCTCAATGTGAGTTACTACAACAACAACAACAAGAGAGCAACACAAATCTTTAAAACTGGCAGCAACCAAACGACCTCAACTCATAAGGATCCAGCAACCATAGATTAATCCCACCGTACAAATCCAAAATAAATAAGTCAACAACACATATAGCAAATTTCAGTTTAAATAGAAGAGATCTTACCGTCAGATTTATACGATCAGTTTAACAAAAACCCAGACAATCTGAATCTATTCGGTGAACGTTTAACCCATTAACAGATGAAGCTTTCCATAAAACATCAGTCCAAACAAAGTCCAATTAACTCTTCAAATCTACCTTAATAAATCTAGACGTTTTCTTCACATATTTCTCTCTTTTTTCTAATGAATCTTCTTAAAAGTTAATCCTAATAACTTTCAAAGCCCAATAATAATTTCATGGATTAACACCAATGACCCAACTCAAAATTTGGTTATCACTAGGTATGTTAATATGAGTAATTACCCATGGGTTTACCCAAACCCATTGATAATGGGTTGTGTTTTTATCCATCTAAAACTAATTGGGCTAAACATGGGTATAAAATTTTAAAATCCATATTAGATTAGGTAAATATTAGAGGGTAATGGGTACCCATGGGTTTTAATTTTATAACATTATGCTTTTCACTATTTTAATATCTTTTGTTTTAATGTTTTAAATAAACCATAATTTTGGTTTTTCTGTCCAAACTAAAAAATGAATTTATCCGTCAGAAATGAAAAACGAGTTTATTTCGCCAAAATCGGAAAATTGACTTTCCTGCAAAATCGGAAAAAATGATTTTTTCCGCCAAAACTGCAAGATGTTTTTCCGCCAAAACTGCAAGATGTTTTTCCGCCAAAACGGAAAACATGTTTTCCCGCAAAAACGTGTTTTCCCGCCAAAACAAGAAAAATGTGTTTTCCCGCCAAAACCGGAAAAACGTATTTTTCGAGAAAACGTGTTTTTCTGCCAAAACCGCAAAAACGTGATTTCCCGCCAAAACCGCAAAAACGTGTTTTCCCAACAAAACCGGAATAACGTGTTTTTCCGCCCAAACCGGAATAACGTGTTTTCCCGCCCAAACCGGAAAAACGTGTTTTCCCATCAAAACCGGAAAACGTGTTTTCCCGACAAAACCGTAAAAACGCGATTTCCCGCCAAAACCACAAAAACGTGTTTTCTCGCTAAAACCACAAAAACGTGTTTTCCCGCCAAAACCAGAAAAACGTGTCTTCCCGCCAAAACCGCAAAAACGTGTTTTCCCGCCAAAACCGCAAAAAAAGTGTTTTCCCGCCAAAACCGCAAAAACGTGTTTTCCCGCCAAAACCACAAAAATGTGTTTTCCCGCCAAAACCGCAAAAACGTGATTTCACGCCAAAATCGAAAACGTGTTTCCCGCCAATGCGTGTTTTCCTCAAAACCGCGTTTTCGTAAAATGAGTTTTCTGCAAAAAAAAATTCCCAAAAAAATCAAGTTTTTTCGACAAAATCGGAAATGCGTTTTTTCGCCAAAACCGGAAAATGAGTTTCCGGCCATACTGGAAAAACTAGTTTCTAGGGAAAAAAATTCGCATAATCTCTTTAGAACAAATAAAATAGTAGTTTGGATACCCTTGGGTTAACCTATATTCTACTGGATTATTTTTTTTAGTTTTAATTTAACCATGATGTTTCTAGGTTTTCGCAGGTAGGATATAAACTAGGTTGGGTTTTTTGTGGGTTAGACTGGGCTGAGTTATTTTACCCATTTTAATATCCCTAGTTATCACCAATCAAACCCAATAAATTCTCTCAATGACCCAATTCCAAACTTGATTATCACCAACCAAACCCAACCAACAAACCAAACCCCAAACCCAACCAATGAGTTTCTGCTCATTCTTCCATCTAGAAAGAACCCAGTTTTTTTTGCATTATGGACGTTTGTTAAACAGTCTGAGAGCACCGTTTAGTTAGGTAGTCAAACACCACGTTTAAGATCGGTAAGACGTTGTAGTACACCGCTTTATAAAACATACATTATTTCTATTAATATAAGGCTATATCCTCGCGAGTACAATACAGCAGACGTTACAAACGTAGTTTTTTATATTTTTATCAACCCATTGTAAACATTATTATACAATACACTCATACAACATAACTAGTATCCTTGTTTTTGGTCTTTCAAGACACATCGGCGACACGTAGGTAGCCTTTTTTGGATGGAAGTTCGGCAGTCTTGTAACCCTGTGGAAACAACTTCTTAGCCTCTTCGTCTGATACAGCTGGTGAAATAACAACCGGTTCATCCGGTTTCCAGTTAACCGGAGTGGCGATCTTGTTCTTATGTTTAGCCGCCATCAACAACGAGTCTAAAGCCCTCAACACTTCGTCCATGTTACGTCCCGTGGTGGACGGATACAAGAAACTCAACTTTATCTATATAGAATCTCATAATAAATCATATATACATGCAAAAATAATGAGAATGAAATTATGATATATGATCATTTACCTTACAATCAGGACCAACTATATGAAGGGCACGAGAGGGACCGTTCTCAATAGGATCAATCATGTTAAGCTGAGGAATGATCTCTTTGTTTGGGTCAGCAATTATTGGGTATGTCACTTTGCTTCCAGGCTATATCAATTTTATTTGCCACAATGAAAGAAGAACACAATGTTACATAAAATTAATCAAAACGAAAATATAATAGGTTTATCAAATTATTAATTAGTTTTATTTATATGCATCAGGCATGCATAAAATCGAATCTTACCGTAAATGCCTCGATGTCGGGGATCCAATCTTTGTGCGATTGTATGTCGTCACAAGACAAACCAAGGAGCTTCACACCTCTGTGCTCGAACTCATGAGCGTATTTGCCCATGGCACCAAGCTCGGTTGTGCATACAGGTGTGAAATCCCCTTTGAGTCAATTGGTCAATATATTTTGATCGATTTAAGAAAAGAAAACGATAATTGACTAGGTTAGTCAAGATATAAGGACGTTTTTATATACCAGGGTGAGAGAAGAGGACGGTCCACGAATCGGCGAAGTAGTCATGGAGTTTGAAGTTCTTGTGTGTCGTCTCCACGTCTAGGTTTGGCACCGTGTCTCCTAGTGTGATCCCTGGCATTTTTTTTTCTTGTTATCGAAATGAAAATGTATGTATTGATGGATAAAACTGAGATGATTTCCGGTTAAATAGAGATCATACAAACTTACAGGTGCAGAAATCAAAGTCTGAGAAAGAGAATCTTGATGTTCAAACGGGGTGCATGCAAAAGAGTATCACGTGGCGGTCGAACAACTTCGCTTTACGCCACGTCTGAACGTGTCTTCTATGATTTTCGAATAAAACAGCTATGTATTTACGTTTCAAGAAAACTTTAAAAGCGGTCGATTAATTTATAGAGACTCGAATATTTGTAACATTTGTATTTTATTAAATAATCGACAAAAGTGATTGTTTAAAAAAAGTTAATAATCGACAACAAAAGTTTGAGTTTGCAGTTCCATTTGGGCCGAGATTACAGTTAATAAACCTTGGGAAAAAGTTCTAAAACATCGTCGTTAGATGTAAATATTAACAAATGCAAATATCATGAAGTTATTTTTTACTAGAATAAACCCGCTCTACGAACGGACGAATACATAAACTAATAATACAAATTTATCTATGTATTGTAAAATTCATTTTAGAAATTATTGACTTGTATAATTATAGTAAAATTTAAAAATATAAATATTTAATTTTTCTCAGTTTTTATTTTAATTTAACTATACCAATAAAACACATATATTTTTTTTTAAATTACAAAACACTATGAAATTTAAGATATTTTGAGAATTTATGTTTATTATTAAAAAAATTACTATGTATAAGTTTTAAATCTTTATTTCTTTGATTTCTCTTATTATGGTTATCAACTTTTATGGTTAAAATTGTTTGATGTTAGGATATTGAATTTTAATTTCGTTGTTATTAACTAAATTTCACAATATAATATTAAAATATAATGTGCTATTTTTATTGTTACAGTATGATACTTTCACAATATAATATTATTTCTACTATTATCGTCATTTTCGTTGGTAGATTAATTTGTATTACGTTACTCGCTTTAAGCAGAATATTTTATTTATTTTTTAATTTTACAGCTCAACAATTGTTTTTATATTGAAGTGGTTTGTTTAAATTTTCTATCAAATAAATGTTTTATATTGCCTCATATTAATTAGTGTAATTTATTAGTATTGTTTTTATTTGATTAACAAAAATAAAACCTCATTATCTTATGTGATTCGCCAATTTCTTCAACACGGAAATTGACACATAGTAATGTATATTTCGTTTAAATATTTTCATTTGATTTATTTTGTAGTGTTTTATTATTCATGTGATTATAGTGTGTTTGTTTTTAAAGATGTGAATATTATATGTGTTTTTATTTATTACATTTTATCTCGTTATTTTTGAATACTAAAACGGAGTGTATTCCAGATATTTGATTGAATACAATAGTTTAGATTTACGTTTTTATCATTTTTCTTTTACAATTTTTAGTTGTCTTGGTATTCATGCAAAATTATTATTTTATTATTTTTGAATCTTAGTTTTAATTAATTATTAGTTCTTTGTTGTTTCTTTTTTTAATAGTTAATTAGACCATGACCCGCCCGACCGGGCGGGTGTTTTGTTTTTTTTTTAATTTTTAGGTTTATACTAAATGATGTAAAATAAAAAATGAAGTATCAATTAAATGGTTACAAATTACTTATGGGTTTAATTTTGATAGAAGAATACCGGAAAGTTTGATGTTTGATCCGCGCAAGTGTTTGTTTTTATATATTTTATAAGTGATAATATATATTTCTAAATTTACCCATTTAAATAATTGTTTAAAATGACATTTTAAATACACAATATTATAGTTTATATTGAGTTATTTTATTTTATCTTATAAACTATCATTGTGTCATACTTATTTTAAAAATATGACCTGTATATCTGCACAAATGTTTTTATTTTATTTTTATGGATCAAAATTTTATGATAATGTATAACTAAATTGTTTTATTTACTATTTAAAATATATGGTCCTATATATTTCTACTTTTTAACTTTTATTATTCTGAATTTACCTTGAACTATTATTTATATAAAAATATACATAACATGATATGTTTATATTAATATTTTTATTATATAAATGATTCTTTTTGTGACTTTTATTTTAGTTATTACTTATAAATAATAAAAATATAATTATATATCTTTGAAAAAAATATTGTTCATTAACGATTTAAAGATATGTAGATAATTAATAAGAAAAAAATCTTAAAAGGTAGGTTAATTAATTATTATGTATATGGAATTAGTAAAACAATTTCTATATAATTTATTTATTTAATTACGAAATGTATATATGAAAATAATTATTTTCGTTAAATATTGTTGCCATAATTTTTTTTAGTTAAAATTTGATTTTCGAAATGCATTAATTAAAGTGAAAAGACAAAAAATCCTATAAGATATGGTAATTAATAATTTCAGTGGCATAACATTGTAAATAATTAGAAAAATTCAGGGGTATTTTATATGGGTACTTCTCTTTTAATAATATAGATATTTTTAATCTGATTTTATACATGAAAAAAGGAAAAAATCTCTAAGATACACTATTTTATTTTTGATTTTCTTTCAACTTGGGTTTGATACAACGTAAAAGCAATATCATAAATGAATTCTTCTATTTTTTGTTCTTATGAATTTCTCATATTTATTCTTGAAAATAAGTATTATTGATTATTTTATGTATTTCAATAATTTTTGTTATATTTGTTATATCTTGTTAGTTTTTATATTTTTGTTACAATTATCTGATTATGTATTAATTATTGTTGTGGTTTCATCATTTTAAAATTAAATTTTCAAAGCTCAAGTTTTGTGACTATAAACTGAAAAGATTATATCAGATTCACATCTCATTTTTATTTTAATTACCACGTAATAGAGTTATGTTTGTATCTTGACCACAACAAAAGTAACTCGTTAATATGTTTCGTAAATATTTAATTTTAACTAAAAATACTATTATGGCTCATAATTATTTTACAAGAATTTTATGTATTTTAAATTTTATTTTAGAAACTGTTAACTTTTATAATTATAATAAAATTAAAAATGCAATTATTTAATTTCTTTCAATGTTTATTTTAGTTTAACTATACCAATATGATACAAAGATTTTTTAATCTACTATGAAACTTTAGATTTTGATGGTTATACTTATATAATTTTTATATTAATATAATATATGATTTCGCAATTCTGCTTTTATGTTTAGCAACATTTACAAATCACCATCAAAATGTGAAGTGCCTGGGATTCACTAATTTCAACACCACCTAATCCATTCATATATCAAACTATCAAGTATAACAAATTAAAATAATAATATGCACGTAATACAGACAAACCCTAATTCACTATATAAAAAAAACTTTGGTTACGTTTGTATAAAGCTTATATATATATATATATATATATAGACGTTGTTTCAGTGAAATCACGTATTGATATAAAAGTTAATTTTTATTGTTATTTTATTAAGTTATGTTTATTTTACATGTCTAATTCTAGACCAGTAAAATTAATCTATTTATTGTATATATTCATTTGTCAAATAATAATTCATATCGTTTCTACTATACATATAAAATATTTTATTTTTCATTATTTTGTGTGCTGTAATGAACTTGCAGGTTATCGGTTTAATATTTTTATTACCAAACATTATTGGTTAAAGCAAGAATTTCATTCACTGTATCATCCAATTTGTTAAGAAAATACATTTCAAACTGAACCAAACTTTATAATCGAATCTGGACCGAAACCAAATTGGTCGGGTTAAACTGATTCAGTTTAGGTATTCATCTCGAGGCTTTGTCTAGGTATTGATCTCGAGGCTATATCTACACGTGTGAAAGAGATTTCGTTAAATGAATTAAACAAAAAATTTATTTATTTCAAATAAAAACAAAGCAAAAGTTTGACCCAAAAAAAAAACAAAAACAAAACAAAGCAAACAAACTGATTCAACAACAAACTCCCAATACTTTAAAGAAACTAATATTTGAAAATTCATTTTCACATATGCATGTCCACATTACTATTGCTGCAATACATCCCAAGTTGCTGAGCGTAACATTCATATTCAAGAAGCTCTCTCACACCTAAAACCAGTTCTTTGTTTGTGATGCTCTTACATTTTTGTCTCAGCAATTATGATATGTGCCTCGCTGAATGCTACATAGGCTTGTTCCTTGATTAGTACTCTAAAGTTTGATCAGTCACACACTAAGCTAAGTACCCTTCTCTTTCTTTCTCACCATTTGTTTCTTATAACTTTGGCCTTCACTTTCCTACAGATTCATTATAAATCATTCACTTTTGGTGATGCATCTTCTCAAAATGCTTGTAGAAAAGTCCTTCGGATATTACCAGCTTCTATATCATCCTTCCATGTTTCTTGCTTAAGCATATTGATCATGCTCTGCAGAAATATGTTTGCGTCATGGACACAACAACCTTGGCTCCAGACAAACACACGAAGGCAAGCATCTGCATCACTTCGAAGTGGAGATGATGTTAGGCGGGATAATGGGACAGTTTTGCGGAGTTACTTTTGCAAACTCCTCTTCAGGTATACATAGGATTGTACAATTTACTTGGGATTTGTGGAGAGCGATCTAAGTGGGGTCTCTTGTTTCAGCCTATCTCTCGTGAGAGTATATATTCTTGTCAGTTCTCGTAATATCGTTGTGCCTGCAGATCCCAGTGGAATAATAATTCTAGTATCTCTGAGACTGATCATCCACTTGCAACATGTTAAAATATAGATAGATAGTAGAAACAAACCTGTTTTGAAATAGAGGTGAACTTGTAAACAAAAATTATTCAAACTAATTTGTTTTTGAGAAAGTAAGTTGAATGTGAAGCACTGACGCTTTCACTGAAGCCTTTAGAATGGTGAAATATTCCCATAGACACTCACCAGTAAGAGATAGAAGAAGAAATGAATTACCAAGATTTTTCACGCTATGCGTATACTAACAAAAACCATCAAAAAAAAGAAAAAGAAAAACCTTCCAAAATCATCCCGTAGACACTCACCAGTCATTTGTTACAGGTATTAAATAATCAGAAAATAATCACATTTCAGCGTTTATATAAAAGTTATCTATACATACAGTAGTTATTAATTACAGATTATGTTTTGACTCTATCCAGATTAGAGTTGAGGTAGAAGGTACCGAGTTTGTAGTAGTAGTCTCACCGGATACGTTTCCGTTTTGCTGCTGCTCATTAGCAATCACCAAGAAGCGAGGTGCTCGATCCAAGAGGGCTGAGTTAGAAGGAGAATTCAATGTCCCGTGAGAGTGACGCGGCAGTGGAGAGATATCTAAATCGTCGGCCGCCGCTTGAGAAGACGATGAATAATCAGTAAAATAGAAAAGCTTCACTGCTTGTGTAGGCAGAAGCTCAATCAACGTGAAACCACCGGAGATCTTGGGAGTTTCCGAGTTGTTAGTTTCTGAAACTCGTCACCGCCACCGAGATGAAGTGATTCAAACCTTGTTGCTTCTCGGAAGGCCCAACGCTGCCAGATCTAGATTCGAATGCTCCGGTCAGATCCACCAACCTTAACAATTCCGAACAATACTGGAACTTAAAATCCCCAGAAAAAAACTCTAAAAGGAGAGAGAAAGAATTCTGAATGCAATTAAAAGTGTGAGGATGATTCTCAGTCGATGATCAACCGGCTGGAAAGGGGATACGGATCATTGAATGTGGTTGTAGTGTGTGCAAATAGTGAAGATTTCGTTAATGACATTGAATATGTCAGTTTCTTTGGTGTCGCTTCGGTATCGATTCGTTTCTTAACAGGTGTTACACGTTGCATATAATATCTTGGAAACTCCATTGTTGGTATCTCGATTTTCCATTGCTGGTAACAGAGAAGATGAAGAAGAGGGAAGATCATCATTTGTTAAGTTTTGAATTAAGACAGAAGCCCATAAATCTGCTAATTGTGGCCCAAAAAAATAAAGAGAATGGACACGTGTCAACCTGTAGTCACTCTATTTGATGATTTTTTTTTCTCTATTATATTTTTTATTTTGGTTATTTGCATAATATAAATATTTAAAATAATATGAGATAGATATTTTTTATCGTAAAGTTGCCTTTTTTATAAACCCAAAAAAAATTGTTTTTGTTTTCTTTTTCTATTCATTTTCAAAGTCAAATTATCTAAAAATATTTTATTTTGGATATTCTGAAAATTCAGAGATATTTTCCCATTTTTTTTTTCAAAAATTGATCATATAGAAATAAAATCAATACTTCTCTAGTGCATTAACCAAAAACAAAATCATAATCTCTACCATGTTGTCTTTGATCATTGACTGTTCTTATGGCATTATAGGGAAATAATGTTTTTTTTGATTGATGAAGATGATGAGGAACCAATCCAGTTGCCTGATCAAGCTGATTAAAATCTTATCTGTGAGTATAGCTTATCTCTTATAGGCAATATACTAAACCAAAAAAAAAAAAAACAGAATGTAGAACATCTCACTATTAAAATGCTTGAGCAATGGGGTATGGCAGATAATATTACCAGTTGTGATTTAGAGAATGGTAGATTTCTAGTCAACTTTAATAATGAGGAAGACCTCAATTCGGTCCTAAGCTTGGGCTGTTTCACCATAAATTATGCATGTTTGTTCTAGTTCGTTGGGAACTGGTTATTGACGAGGACTACCCATCAATGATCCTTTTCAAGATCCATCTTCAAGGGATCTCTCTACATATCTGTACTGAGCAGAACCTCAAAGCCATTGGAGACAAACTTGGTAAATTGGAGCTTTGGGACGCACCTGAGGGAACAATCATAGTATTTATTAACTCAGGAAGTCAATGAAGTTTATCTGAAAGCTTGAAACAAAATCTGGAGAAGATATCACAATAAAGCTCCACTACAAAAAGTTGTTCAAATACTATAGTCTTTTGGCCTAGTGACACATGAGAACTAAGACTGGCTAAAGAGAGCTTCTGCTGCTCCAATTGGATCTTATGGGAGGGAGAATGTGTTTGAAAAAGTTCATATGAACACACATAATATTGGAGGAACTGCACTACCGAGCCAACGACATGTGGGAAGCTCCAAGGATTCTATCAGATATGGGTTTGAGAGAAATCACTCGATTTGGACATCGACCAACACAAGAGGTCGACATGGAGTGTTTATAATCGATCGATGCACACTCGGTGACATCGATCGACACCAAAGGCACGGAAGTCTAATTCGTGACCCAGCCGACTTGAAGCCTAAGACTTCACCAAATTACAAGATTACCCCTGACGAGTTTTAACCTAATTATTTATACTTTTTCATGGTGTTTTAGGAAAATAGAGCTTTCTTCTATTCTTATTTTCACAGTAAAAGGTTTATAGGATTTTTAGAGTTGGAGAGAAGATCCAGAGAGATTTGTGAATGGAACTCCATTATTATCTATATGTTTATGCATTTTATTTACCTTGTCTGTGTTATGAATTGCTTAGCCATGTCTGAGTAATTCACTTGTTAGAGTTAGGATTTAAATATGTATAGGGGATTAGCCCCAACTATAGGATCGCTTAGTGTGATATTTATTAATAGAATGTTCTTAATGCCTATGTTCTAGATTGCTAACTAGAAACCTGAATGTTCTTAATGCCTATGTTTATAATCGACTGATGCATTGTGACATCGATCGACACCAAAGACGCGGAAGACCAATTCGTGACCAAATAACAAGATTACCCCTGACGAGTTTTAAACCCAAGTATTTATACTTTGCCATGGTGTTTTAGGAAAATAGAGCTTTCTTCTATTCTTATTTTCACAGCAAAAGGTTTTTAGGATTTATAAAGTTGGAGAGACGATCCAGAGAGATTTGTGACTGGAACTTCATTATTATCTATGTATCTATTTATCCATTTTATTTACCTTGTTTGTGTTATGAATTTTTTAGCAATGTCTGAGTAATTAACTTATTATGCTATAATTGGGAAGTTTTGGTCCATTGTTGTCAAGCATATGACAAAGGAAGAATGCGTTTAAACTACGTAACTGGTTATTGACAAAGACTACCCATCAATGATCCTTTTCAAGATCCATCTTCAAGGGATCTCTCTACATATCTGTACTGAGCAGAACCTCAAAGCCATTGGAGACAAACATGGTAAAGTGGAGCTTTGGGACGCACCTGAGGGAACAATCATAGTCTTTATTAACTCCAGGAAGTCAATGAAATTTATCTGAAAGCTTGAAACAAAATCTGGAGAAGATATCACAATAAAGCTCCACTATGAAAAAGCTTTTCAAATACTATAGTCTTTTGGCCTAATGACAAATGAGAACTAAGACTGGCTAAAGAGAGCTTCTGCTGCTCCAATTGGATCTTATGGGAGGGAGAATGTGTTTGAAAAAGTTCATATGAACACACATAATATTGGAGGAACTGCACTACCGAGCCAACGACATGTGGGAAGCTCCAAGGATTCTATCAGATATGGGTTTGAGAGAAATCACTCGATTTGGACTTCGACCAACACAAGAGGTCAACACGGAGTGTTTATAATCGATCGATACACACTCGGTGACATCGATCGACACCAAAGGCACGGAAGTCTAATTCGTGACCCAGCCGACTTGAAGCCTAAGACTTCACCAAATTACAAGATTACCCATGACGAGTTTTAACCTAAGTATTTATACTTTTTCATGGTGTTTTAGGAAAATGGAGCTTTCTTCTATTCTTATTTTCACAGTAAAAGGTTTATAGGATTTTTAGAGTTGGAGAGAAGATCCAGAGAGATTTGTGATTGGAACTCTATTATTATCTATCTGTTTATGCATTTTATTTACCTTGTTTGTGTTATGAATTCGTTAGCCATGTCTGAGTAATTCACTTGTTAGAGTTAGGGTTTAAATATGTCTAGGGGATTAGCCCCAACTATAGGATCGCTTAGTGTGATATTTATTAACAGAATGTTCTTAATGCATATGTTCTAGATTGCTAACTAGAAACCTGAATGTTCTTAATGCCTATGTTTATAATCGACTGATGCATTGTGACATCGATTGACACCAAAGACGCGAAAGACCAATTCGTGACCAAATAACAAGATTACCCCTGATGAATTTTAAATCTAAGTATTTATACTTTGTCATGGTGTTTTAGGAAAATAGAGCTTTCTTCTATTCTTATTTTCACAGCAAAAGGTTTTTAAGATTTTTAAAGTTGGAGAGAAGATCGAGAGAGTTTTGTGCTATGAATTGTTTAGCAATGTCTAAGTAATTCACTTGTTATGCTATAATTGGGAAGTTTTGGTCCATTGTTGTCAGGCATATGACAAAGGAAGAATGCGTTTAAACTACGTAACGTTATGGTTGAGAACTTGATGCTTCTTTACAGATGAGGTCTCATGTAAACCAAAGATGAGAACGAGTCATATATATAGCTTGCCAGGTGGTGGTGTTTGAGCTTAAATAAGTTTAAAAAACTCAAAACTATTACATTTTTTTTTCGTATTTACAAACTTTATAGGATCTTTTTGCACACACAAATGGAAACATTGGGAACAATAAGATAACTAAAGAGGACTCGTTTTCACACTCTGATTGGACTAGTGACAAGAGCATCTGCCATTCAAATTAAAGTGACCAAGAACGAATATGCATATAGCATTAGGAGTCACTTTTCTAGTTAATCATTCATCAGAATACTTCTAGAAGATCCATGCACTAACTTTATTTGTGTCTAAATTATGCTTTGAGAACAAGTGGTACTTGTTTTTGTTCTTTCTACTGTTTACCAACTTTTACTTAAAATGGGAGAAATTCTTCCAGGCTTAAACGAACCATATATGTACCTTTTTCTTTATAAGTGAGATTGATTCTCTCTTAAACATTCCACCTACAATCTTCGTTGGGACAAGACGAGTGTAAAACATAGAAATAAAAACGAAAAATAATTATAGGGTCTGAGATCAATTAAGTTGCCTTCAAAAGGTAGTGATACTCAGACTAATGAGAAAACTATAACAAGTATCTTTTGAGGTTTAATACTATATATCTAGATGTATCCAAATAGTAAGTATTCAACGATTTTCAGAGTGCATCATGAAAATATACACGCATGTTTATCTAGGTTCCAAATTAAGAAATATAATTGTAAAGTATATACAATGTGTACACGATGTAACACCTTTTTATTTTATGTTAATATCAACTACTTTAGAGAGATGTCAAATATAACAAAGATATCTTATAACACGCGGAAGAGATATATGTTTCCCAGATTTAAAATCTTCTATGTTCTTAGGACACATAATGATGTTTCTGACTTTTCAGCTAAAACTGCTCGATCTTTCTATCATAATTTTTGTTTATTGGTTGTTTTATTTCGGTTTGGAATCCCAGACCACCTCAAGTTTGAATAGTAGATCAGTCTTTTGATATAAAAACACGCGAAAGAGATACAAAGTATCTAAACTAGGACGATCAATAGTGGATAATTGGCAACATTCAATGTGCTCGATGAGTAGATGAATCTGCATTAAAATATTTTCTTATTTGATCTCTTGATGCTTTAAATTTTGCTCAAATGCTATTGTGGAGCAGTGACTCTCTAATATGATTGTCAGGTCAAATTGGACTAATGAAATCCTTTGCATTCAATCCAACGATAACGTAGTGATAGCAAATTATATTATACTGTCATCGATCTCTTTTTAGGCCAGCAACAAATTAATACAACTCTTTAACAAATTACATTATCCTAGTGTGAACCATTTTTATGAATTAGAAGACCACACGGTTCGAGTTGTGTCATTATGTGTGTTACGCTAGAGAAGGAACCAAAAGACGGTACC